CTCAGTGATGTAATGCATCAGGCTGATGCTATTTTTAGCCACGCTGGTTCACTCAGCTTCCTCAGCGTCAGCACACAGAGCTATCGATCAGTAGCACAACTCATTGGAAGATGAGAGCTGCAGCAAGTAGCAGCATAAAAGTAGTTGCACCAAAATGTAATATTTCCTGTGTGCTCTGTGTGCTTTTCTTTTACATTTTCCTAATATTTCAACCGTGAAGTGGCAATTTCTTTTTTATTTCATGTTAATCACTATTACTTTTTCCAGTTTTGTTGACGTTTGATCGTGGAAGACCCATTTGGTAATATGCCAGCGTGCTGTCTGCATTTTGTGATTTACGACTGCTGATGTTAGAAAACCTAACCTGCTTTTCATATCAAAGTGAGGATAAACCTATTTTTAAAGATAAGTGAAATCACTCCAGGCCGCTGTAGATCTGTTCCAAAACAACAACAACAACAACAACAACAACAACAACAGTGATCTGACTGTCCCCTGTGTGCTTCAGGGCCACAAAACCAAGAGGAGTTCCCTGATTAGGCGTTCATGATGATGAAAAGGCCACAAAACATTCCGTAGAAGAAGAGCTGCTTTGTTTTCTTCTTTTCTGTTTTCTCTCAAAGGCCTGTACATGGCCTAGTTGTTTAATCACCCTGTGTTACTCACTCTCTGACAATGTCCTGGGTGTTTTTAGACAAAATGATGCCAGTAAGACAGCTTCTTGATATGCAATCTTTGCTCAATGGGGTAATAAATCAGTAGCATTCAGGCATGATGTGTGGGAGCTTTGGTGGTTCCTGTTTTACCAGAGGACACAACCAAGCACATACACACACACTGGCATGACTTGCACCTATAGTCCTGCAGCACCGTCCCAGTTTCTTCCTTTGATAAGTCTGTAGCCTGAGGGTCTAGACCAGCCGACTCCTGGTTTCTCACACAAAATAAGGGAGGCCCTCGGACAAAGGACCAACCAACAGATAGGGCTCTGATAAACACCTGCCCCACTAAGCCGCCCCCTGTGAGAGGTCATCCTCAGTGCTGCCATATACCTGTGTCATTTTTCACAATGGACTGAACAATGGCCGCGGTTTTAACAGTGGCCTCTATACCTGCTTAGCTAATCTCAGCTAATAGGCCACCACAAAGGCTGTATCCATATCAGTCCAAGCCCTGTAACAGACTTTCCTGCTGACTTGACATGTCTTTAAATACCCCAGAGTATGACCTTAACTCACATTTATCACCAAAGGCTTGACTCAGCTATGTGATGGGTCATCTCTTTATTGAGGATTTACACCACCAAAGAGAGAAAGGATGTCGTTTTTCGTTTTGAGTTGTCCAAAAGTGCCTCTCCATCCCTGCAGGTCACTACACAATCAGTTACCTAATTGTTCCTCCACAGTTAATCTGTTCATGGAGTTAGCATGCCAGAGAGATCAGTCTGCCCTGTCATAAAACCTGATTGAGTCCTCTTCACCCACCTCACCCATCTGTTGTGTGGCGCTGTGTGTTTGGTGACATTTAACAGCCCTGGCCTTAGACATTTAGTTTGTTTGTACTGAGTGTAATTAGCTTTGGGAAGGGAGGATAACTCTCTTATCTCTGTCACACCCTGTTACTCACAATAGTTTCAGGAGAGGGATGGCTTCCAGTTGAGGTTCTGTTATTGCCAGGCTCAGATTACAGGAAGTTTGGATAACTTCTTCCTTTTAAATCTGGTCACAACCTTTTTTTTTTGTATGCTATTTCTACTAAAAGATACTCTGAAACATCTTTCATTCTAACTTTCTTTCTGGCTTTTAGCTAACGAAGCTGTATTGAAATAGACGTAAAGCTTTGCTGACTATGATACACAGCATGTAAACTAATAAACGCTCTAGCGGAAGATTAGTTTCCTGTGTTTATTTGGATGCCTGATACTAGCCTCCTATGTAAACTGTCTCCTATGACCATCAGAGTGTTTCTGGACAGATAGAACTGCGAACCACTACACTACTTAAGCAAATGGCAACAGCAGTCTTGTATGTGTGTTTACAGAAAAGCTGGCGGCTCAGTTTGATAACATTGTCTTTCTATGCCTGCGTACTAACCTCTCCTTTGATATCAGGTCAAAGAAATCAACCAAATAGAAACACTGTTGCTGCTAGATGTCTTTCATAACCTTTGAAATCTTTTCAAATAGAGTTACATGCCCTGACCTACATAACCTCTGTGATAAGTGGTGTGATATATTAGCCAGACCCCAGTGAGAAGTGACAGTAGAGTATTATGTAATTGGCACAAAAGCCATTAAAAGTCAAGTGTGCTGTGAGACCCCTTCACTTTGAAAACAGATGGTGATCAGAAAGGTTCACCAATGTTATCTGCTGACTCATCCAGACTGCTTCACTATGCCCGTTCAGCTGGTTTCTTTCCCTGACCTGAGCCAGATAGCTCAAAGCATTGAGGACAAAAACACTCACACACATAATCACATCTGCAGGGGAGCAACCTGTTATAGTTGAGAGTCTTTTCAAACCAGTGAACTTACACACACTCATTTAAGCCCCTTGCCCTCCTTTCCCTTCAAGGACATTTCTCATTGGCAGTTATGTCATCATTTGAACACAGGTCAGTAGTTTCAGTGGTTCAGTAGTTCTCCCTGAGGCTAATGAGGTTTGTCATAAAAAAAATGTCTAGAGTATGTGTGTGGGTGTTGCTTGAAGCTGTTTCATGGAAAGGCTAATACTCAGCATGGTCATTTAGATTAACCCACATGTTATTAACAGGAGAACAGCAAGCCACTGGATTGTTAATATCCACTAACACACCCACCACTTAAACAGTCATAATATATTCCTCTATATTTTTTTTTTTCTCAGGATAAAGCCATAGTATGTAAATATAAATTGACAATGCCTGAGTGACCTGAGTCACCCATCTGTTACTGCAGGAAGCCCAACAGCAGTGGTCTCCATGCTGGAAATACTCTCACACCCTCATTTTCAGTCAACCTAACGACAGGCTAAGAGCTGAGGCGGGTTTTAATATTTTTGACACACTGTTACATCGCACCTGCCTGTCAATCAGGACAGCTATGCGCCTTATTGTGAATGACTTGTATCCTTCATAAAATCAAAATGGATGAGTTATACAAAAAAAAAATTCACCCCTCGTACAGTTTGTGCCAATGGAGACATGAGCTAATCAGACCAATTTTGTTTCTTGAACCAGGCTGTAAACGTGTTCATTTCTGCTGTAAAAAGTGGTGAAATGCAGGATTTTGCACTCCTGCATTGGCTTCATTTTTCAACACCGGCGGTTGCAGCTTGGACAAAGCCTGTAAAATACCTAAAGTGTGCAGTCAGGCCCTTTGCTCATGCCATGTCTGACTGTGCACTACGCTTGATTTCACAAAATGAAAGCCTTCTCTGTTGAACAAACATGAGTGTATGTACTTCATGTTTTCTTATGTTTATGTGTCTGCCGTCCTGCAGTTTATTTTAGTGATCCCCGCATGGTGGTTTCCCCATTGTTTTGCTTTTGAGAGGATGGACGGTGTGTCATACTGTGCGTCTGGCCAAATGAGGTCAACAGTCAGCAAAAAAACACACAACCCCGCTGAATAATCTTTGTTCCCAAAAACTACCTGCACAGATTTCCCACTCAGGCAGGATTCCAGGCAGTCCCAGTTTACTTCCCGTCCTGTCCTTCCTGCTCGCACCCCACAGGGCTTGGATCATGGATTGGACACTGACTCATGATTTTTCCAGCATTTGTTTTTGTAAATACTGGAAAACCCTGGAATGGTAATGTAGAATTCAGGGTAGAAATGACACATCAAAAGAAAACCTGCAGAGTCATTTAAAGGGGAAACCACTCAATATTGTTCTATATTAGGAGTTACCTCAACACAATACAAGTCAAACAAATGTAAGCCACATGTGTGTTTTAAACAGGTCGTGTCAGAGCTCTGCTTTCCAATTTACCTGGTTGCTATAGAGACCATCTTTCTAAACAAATTAGCTGAAGGGTGGTACCAACAGTATACATTGGCTTGTTGTGGAGACATTAAGAGCTCAGCTAGACTGTCCTCAGAAACTTGTGTTTGGCTTTGTTACGTCAAATGAAATGATTGTTGGGCGTACACGTACAGATATAATTACTGTTAAGAGACTCAGAGCGGTGAAAGCATAATCCTTTTTAACCGAAGCTCTGTCTGTTACTATACTGTAAGTCCCTTACTGCTTGGTGTAATGATTACGTTATAACGAACATTTGACACCAAGTTATCATTCTCCTAATATCTTACAGCTAAAACTCTCTTCCAGTCACCCCTCTTTCTGGTCCAGGTTGACAGCCTGCAGATTATGTAACAATCGGCCGACTGCATTGGCCCGACACTCTGTCAGTGGCAGAGGTTAATGAAGCTCTACCATGGACAGCAGAGCAGCAGTATTTTCTGCTGCCCTCATGGGTTTTCCACACTGTCCTGCCTCCAATGTTACAAATTGAATTTTGGCCCTGATGCTTTTCCATCTTCTATCTCTTTCCCTCGCTCCCTGGCACACTTGCATATAAAACACAGGTGCTGTACTCCTTGCAGTTTTTGAGAGAGACACTGATATTCAGATACCCCCCTCCCCCACCCCCCCGCCCCCATTCCATGGGCCATCCTATCCTGCAGACCTGTTACATCACCATGCAGCAAGCTATGCAGGCAGGAGCAACAAGTGCAGTAAAAGCATCAATAACATAAACAACTCTGACAAATATGCTCCATTTTGTGTCTTCCCACATTGCACAAAGATTTGTACAAATGTGGGGTTGAAACATTTCTCCGATTAACGGAAGAAAGGGCAATGCAGAATCACAAAACAACTTGTGGTAAGTGTGTGTGTGTGTGTGTGTGTGTGTGTGTGTGTGTGTGTGTGTGTGTGTGTGTGTGTGTGTGTGTGTGTGTGTGTGTGTGTGTGTGTGGCAACTGATTCAAAGTATTTTTTTGTCTTTCTCCACAGATCTGCTTCCTGGTGTCAGCTTTCCGTGGACGAATGTTTTCAGAGGACAGCTGTGCTGCTTTGGCGCTTTTCTCTCACTATTTCCACCTCAGTCAGTTCTGTTGGATGCTCATACAGGTAAAACATGTTGACAAAAAAAACAGTAGACATGCTTGACTTCAGCTGCAAAAGTTTCTTTAAATATTAAACGATTTCCAAATCTGCAGAGCCACCAGCAGTAAATGTACCCCTTTTTTCTATACAGTCATTGTTCCTCTGCAGCAAGATCATGGATGACACTTTCTTTTCTTGCTTATTTGATCAATTATAACACTTTCTTTTTCCGGATGAAGTTCAAATTTTGGGAATACTTAAAGTAGCAGTGCATATGCTTACATGTAAATAGGTGTCTAGCCTCACAGCCTCTCTTTTAATGTCTATTTACAAGGCCTTTAATCAGACAATGTCCTAGGGGTTTAATAGACTCATTTGTTTGTCAAAGATACTTAGATAAACAGTAGAGAAAAATACAAATCTTGTATTTCTAATAAGCTTTACTCTTAAATATGATATTCACATCACGTTTTCAGTACACTTGTTTTTGCAGTTAAACTGGACTTCACTTTATGAATTATATCAGATATGATCATTTCTTACCCAAAGTCACCTTTCCCTCTCTTGCTCATTTTCCTCACGTCTTTGCATGAACAGGGGCCCCATTCTTCCTTTTGTTCTTTACTTGAGCCATGTGGGTTTTTTTTACGTAATAACCGGTGAAACTTCATTCCCCTGCCACGTGGGCTTAGGCAGGTTTTGATTAGGGGGTGAGATGAAGGTACCATAATGCTGCATGACATGATCTTTGACCCAAGACTGGTACTACTTAGTAACGCCGCACCACAGTAGCTCTTAGCCCCCTCCTGCTCGAACATCTGACCTCTATTTTCTTTTCTTCTTTTTTTTTTTTTTTTGTGACATAACTGCACAGAACAAAGCCTGGTAGGAAAAGTCCCAAGTTGGAGCTTAGCGTGCACACATGATACATATATAAGAACTTGATTTCTGACATCAAAAATGTGCCCACAGATCCTTTTATCACCCCTTGGACATCAAAACACTGCACTTATCTTAGCTGTTATAATTCACAAACTACAAAAGTAAAACCAATCACTCCCACATACAAAGCCCCCTCAAAAAATCTGATTCAAGCTGCCAGTATAATCCAAATGTAATCCTTCAGAGAGACTAAATGACTTGTGACTCGCAGTTTCAGCACAGGGTCTTAGTCACTTTGTGCAAAAGTATTTTCAGTCCATCATGAGAGGAAAACAACACAACTGAAAGACCCTTTACTTAAGATGACCCCCCCCTCATAATCCTTGACCCAAATATACACTTTATTGTTGTTGTTCATATTTATATGGCGCAATTCATGTTCACTTAAGACATGATTGCAAACCAATTACTTGTTAAAAGGTGGTGTCTGACAGCTGCAGTGAAAGGTAAGGCCAAAGTCATATTTCACATCTTCAGGTTGGAATACCATTCAATGAGATCATAACTCGTTCTCTATTTCAACTGTTCTTATCTGATAACGAGACATGTGTGCACGATTGGAAGCCTGGGTTAAAAAGAGGTCCACCATAAAACATGAGACACAGACCAGTATTCAGAGGAGACCTGTCCTCAAATGACTCTGTCTCCTCTCTCCCCTCTTTCTCCTCTCGTTGTCCCCCTCTCGTGTAACTGGCTGTTGCTTTGTTTCCATCACTCCACAGTCTTTTACAACTTGTGACGTTTGGAATTGAACGTAATCATTGTTTATGTTCTAAATGTAATCTCTGCAAGAACACTGTTATTGATGTAGTATTAGAGGATTAGCCATTTAAATAAGATAATACAGAGTTAGCACAATAGGTTTACACTGGGACCGGGCAGTGCTGAATGTATGCTGTGATTTAGTATCAGATTGTTTACCGGATGACCTCTGAGATATCTTCAGGGATAAAAGGCCAGGTCAGACGCTTTCATGTTGTTTACAAGTGTTAAGAATTTAGATTCAAGAATTGGCAATGATTTTTTTTTATGTTTAAAGCTGTTCAGACATACATAGGAGTAGTTGGTGCAATAGTCGAGCTGAGATTATCGAGTACAGTAAACACAAACTTAATTCAAATCAGAGGGGATAAAAGCAGGGAAAAGGAAATTACTTTAAAGTATTTTTCTTTTTATTTATTTATATATATATATATTTTTTGGGGCTTTTTGTGACTTTAATGGAGAGATAGGACAGTGGATAGAGTCGGAAATCAGGGAGAGAGAGAGTAGGGAATGACATGCGGGAAAGAAGCCACAGGTGGGATGTGAACCTGGGCAGCCCGCTTGAGACGACAGCCTCCATACAAGGGGCGTGCGCGCTAACCACTGCGCCACCAGCGCCCCACTTTAAAGTATTTTGTATTTTTTATCTAATCATTCACTTACTCACAGAGACTTTTCTCAGATTGCCCTTGTTCTTCAACACCCCTGCCAAGAAAAGTATTTTGTCATTTCTTTATTGTCAGCACCCATAGTAGCTGACAATGAATATGAAGCTGCCACTGGCTTGTTGCACCGAAACAATTCTGTTCTCACCGCAGTCTCCTTATCGACTCCAGTAATGTCTCACCGCTCCCTTTCCCCCCTATCAGGTAGCTGCTTTTAGCTAAGTGGCTGATATGAGTAGGCGCCAGAAAGCCATCTCAGGCCATGAAGACAACTTCAAATCAATAACTGGAGTGTGTGTGTGTGTCTGTTTGTGAGTATGTGCACGTCCACTATTTGGTCAGGGGAATATGCTCTGATATAATGCCAGAAACAGCCAATAATTTAATCACTTTCCAGACTCGTTTTTTTTTTTTCTTCTCTCACTGCAGTGGCTCTCAGAAGCAACCTCAGCTCAGTGAGGAACAGCATAATGTTACATAACAATACTGTGCAGCTCCTTTAGCAGGGAAAGACCTGTCTAACCCTCGGCCCTGTTCTGCAGTATCTTTCAACCCTGTTTCACTGTGCTTGTTGTTGTCAATACAAACAACCAACCAGGGTGCCAATTTTACAGGTTTAAGGTCAGACACTACCTGTCAGTGTTTGGCCTCCAGACAAATTACTATCCACTAACACTTTTGGTCATAATTAACCATCTAAAGTGCAAGGCACACGTTTCTTTATTAGGACATTTGCAATCCCTTATGCGCTTTATATTTCAGCAGCTCATAATCTGGGTGCAAAGTAAGTCACAAAAGGTTTATTATTTACAGGTGCTGTTTAGATGTAACATGACTCTAAACACAACACATAGTTTAGCTCATGAAGAGAACGATGTGCCTTAAGGCAACAGCTTTAATATTCAGAAGGCAAATTTCAGCTAATATTCTTCAAGTGCAACGCATGACCAGCATCCTGATCACACTTCATTGTGCAGTAGGGCCAACACACCTATGAGGAAATAGATGTGCACAAGTATATTTGACTATTTGCACATTGTTGGCACTGGGCAGAATGACAACTGTGTTTAGTGGAAACTAGAAAAAACCCTTGCGCTATGTTATATGTTACTTGGCAGCAGGTGAATGATATGGCCCGTAGAGTGTGGTAGTGATATTAGCCTAGACATAAAAGTGTTTTTACCTTACATGGAATCCAACAATGCATATACTTTCACATATATCTGTGAAGATTTCTGCCCCCCACAAATTACTCAAATTGAAAGACAAGGGGATTATCCAGACTTACAAGGATTTTGTTTGTTAAAAGATGCATTGTTGAATTTATGTAATGTTTCAATTTTAAAGCTCAATAATTTGAATAATTGTATAGGGTTGGTTATATGTGTATTTCTCAGGCTGCAGAATCAACAATCAGTGAGTGGTAAAACTTTAACAGAGTCAACAGTGCTGCACAAAGTTACCCATAATCCATTTACTGCACGGCTCCATCAATACCACAGCCAAGATAAGAACAGCTCTCTAATCTAACTGACAACGTGCTTTTGTCTCAGTACATTGTGCCGCCAAGTTGTTGCACAACATACAGTATGTGTGTCTGTGTGTTAGTGCTCATTCTGGTGTCGTGTGTTACTGTAGCCATGTTTGTTGCGGCCCTGGTTATACAATGTGGTTATGGGGAGACGGAGGTTATCCGAGGGAGAGGTCAGCATCCCTTCACCTTCTGTCAGTTGCATCACAATGTCCTGTTTATGTGATCACAGACAGAAGGACAGTGACAAACAGAAAAAGGAAATGTGATTACTTTGCTGATGATGCTTAAATCTTTGTTTTATATTTTTAAATAATAATTATGTAAAATTTCCTTCCTTTTTTTTAAAATCAAAAACTGTTTTTAAACCTGGCCGTCAAGCTAGATAGAAAGATTCCAGAGCTACTTTATCTGAGCTTTCAGCGTCACTTCAAACAACTTAAAATTGACCTTTGCCCTCTGCACTACAGCCGGCATGTGGTTTAAAACTGTCGGAAAGACACTTTATTGTCTGCTCAAGTTCTTACAGAGGGATAAGACATTGTGTCTGTGCTTCAACCAACAGGTGTTCAGAAAAGCTGCTTATGCAACAATACAAGGCTCAGTTAATCAGACAGATGACACTCACAAGAGGGCTAGATTACAAAGCAAACATTGTGGATGTGATAAAAGTGGAGCTGTTGAAATGTCCACCTGAGGTTGAAAGATGAAAAAAAAAAATCTGTAAACTCCCAACAGATTAGGGCTGCTCTTGATTTAGGAGAAATATTGATGTGCATGATGGTGTTGCTTGTGTTGGGAAACATCTTGTTTTCTGTTCAAAAGTTGTTGTTTTTTTCAAACTGTGTCCCCAGGCGGTGAACTTCTGGCAAGTGTTGGTGATGAATGACGAGCACACAGAGCGCAGATACCTGCTCTACTTCCTGTTGGGATGGGGACTTCCTGCTCTGGTCATCATCGTCCTGGTCGTCGTCCTGCTTGGCGGCTTTGGATGGACAATACATGCTGTATATGGGCTGGTGCAAGGAGACGTGTGAGTGAACAGAGCAAAACACATGAGCACAAACACAAACAGTCTTTAGAGCTGATGGCAGGAAGGAGGAATAAACACAAACACTGACGGGATCTGTTTTCTTTTGAGGACATAAGTGGGTTTTTAAAACCGGGTCTGAGTCATTCTGGTGACTTCAGGCTCCTTTTTTAAGGCTTAGGTAAATTCCACTTTGGACTGGAGTAGAGAAAAACAGAAATCACCTGAGCCGGTGACATCATGTGAGCAGGCTGCTCGCCCAATCAACTGAATGAATAAATGAATCTCTCCACTTAGACACCTTAGAGGTGGAGGGAGGGAAACACCTTAAATAACCGACATAATGAATGTCTTTGTACGTGTTTGTGTGTGTGTGTGTGTTGTGTGCTAAAAATAACTGGTAATCATCTATGATTAGAGCACCTAAAACTTGAAACCCAACAAATGAGGTCACCTTTTAAAAAGTATACATAACGATCTCTTGTCTGGTGTGTCTATATAAAGCCTATTCATATACTACTGTGTGTGTGTGTGTGTGTGTGTGTGTGTGTGTGTGTGTGTGTGTGTGTGTGTGTGTGTGTGTGAGTGTGTGTGTGTGTGTGTGTGTGTGTGTGTGTGTGTGTGTGTGTGTGTGTGTGTGTGTGTGTGTCTGTGTGTGTGTGTGTGTGTGTGTGTGTGTGTGTGTGTGTGTGTGTGTGTGTGTGATGCATTTACCAGTTTTAGTTTTTCACATTGCAGTGTATGTGCTTGAGAGTCTGTCTTGTGTGTGTGTCAGAGAAAGAAAAACACTGATGAAGTTTGAACCCTTGAATCACGTTTGAAATTAGCCAACAGTCTCAGGTGTGGCTGTTATCCTTGGCATTGGTTGTGTGTGGAGTTTTTTTTTCTGTGGGTGTGTGTGAGTGTGTCAGACAGCGAGGCTTTACATGAGAGAGCCGAGGGTACAGAGGAGTATTCAGTTACTTGGGAAGCATACCTTACTTTTTGAGGCAGCCTTTGAATTTTCTCTCCCTCTCTCTCTCTCTCTCTCTCTCTCTCTCTCTCTCTCTCTCTCTCTCTCTCTCTCTCTCCTCATGAGTGTACATAGATCCTCATCTTGTTTTCTCACAACTCTAGCTGTACCAGCTTCACCCTGCCTGCGTACAAACAGCTGTTGAGCTCACACCTTGTGTTAAAGACTCATTTTAGATGTTACATCTAAAAACTGCTGCTGAAGATGTATTGCACCTGATTTTAAAGTAGACTCGATTTTATGAGCTCTTGTCACTGATCTGTGCCGCAAGAAATGTAAATCTTTTCATCAAACGTTGATATCTCCAACATCAAAGAGACCTGTCTTTACATCAAAGTGTATATTAAACAGAAACAATGAAGTTAGCAGCAAGAGACAACAAAATAACACAAGAAAAGATGGTAAGAATATGTTTAAATAATTAAAGTGACAAAGTAAAAGCCTTGGAGTATATCACTGATTGATATGCTTATTATTTTACCCAACTTTAAGGTTAGCTAAAGCATTGTATCTCATAACCATGATTTAAGTTAAAACAGTACATTACTTATTCTAAGTTTAACTTGAAATCCTGAAATCATTTATATTCAGGCTATAAAGTAGCTCATGTAGTTTCCTGAAGACGTGAATCTGACGTCCGTCTGTGCCATGCAAGAAGCTTTATAGTCATACTTATTATAGTTATATTTACTCATTATAGTTCTTCCATGTTTTCCATCACATTGTATAAGTGAAAGGCAGACACAGAGTCATTTTCTCCTGAACAGAGAGAGAATTTATTTAATTCACTTTTACATAAGTTGTCCTTTAAACAAGACTCTGTGGGTAAGTGAGTTGTTACCGTGTAATATAATGCTTGTTAAAGTCCCAGCAGCATTTCCCCCAGAAAAGGCATTGCTATTTTTTTTTTTTTTTTTTATCAAGTTTTTATGGAATGGGCCCAAAGGGAATATCCTCATTCACTGCATTTCACTTTCCAGTGAGACTTTGAGTGCAGTAGGATCTCATCCTCTCACAAGGCCACAGAAGAACAAATATCCATATTCCAGCGTGTTTACAATCTCACAGTCTGTCTGTTTTGCTGGGGCAGGGTGATGCAATGCTTTATTTGGCATACCTCACCTTATATTATGTCTAGCACAGCTCAAATTATTTCTCCAAGATTACTCGACCCTGCAGTGAGGTCTGATCTGGGCTGTGAACTCCCACCATGTTTTGTGGGAAGGACAAAGTCACATGAATGTTTTGATTATTGTTTGGCTGTTACAGTTTATATAAGGATGAAGATTTTTCCCAGAGGAAAATATTTTGCAAATTTTTCTTTAAATAAAATATAAACATGTCTGTTTGGAGAGAAGCTGGGAAAGGACTCCTGAGATTTCCAAGTAAAACAAAAGAGATAAGTCATTGAAAAATAACAGAGTCATACTGTGCCCCAGTATAAGGCACATTCACAAAATAGATGGAAATTAATTTGAAAAAGAACACAAAATAAATATCTATCAAGAAGAATAACAATTCTCCTTTTTATTGTCTGACATTTTCTTATTTGTGTGAAGGCTGAGTTTAGGTTTGTCCACCAAGACATTTAAAAAGCTCTCCTTCAGAGACTTCTATTAGATGAACTTCACTCTGTATGTTTTTCCCATTCAGAGCAGGAGACACATGTGCCATGCTGTTTGTTCTTTGAAATCTTCTTTGCAGCTTAAAATAAAAAAAGCACTATTAAGCGTCTTTAGCCTAAGATGTTATCGCGCTGTAGCTGCACAGTGACCCGGTTGTTCAGAAGGTTTAAGAGCAAACCTTTCTTTGCTACTGAAGGCAAAAGCTGCTGTTGAACAAGAATGCCCTGAGTGTTGGGCTCAGAGGTCTCACCTGCTTGATCCTGTTTATGAAAGTTGAGGAAACAAAGTCTTAGCTTGAGTGAAATTAGATTTTTATAATCATGTAATATGTTGTTAAGAACCTTCCTTTGTGCTTGATGAACCCGTTACTTTAAGTGGTATAAAATCACTTCCCTCTGTCCTCCATGCATATGTTTTGAATGATGTTATTTTATTTAAATGTTTTGCCTTTATTGGACAGTGGATAGAATTGGAAACTGGGGAGAGAGAATGACATGCAGGAACTGAGCCACAGGCCGGACTCAAGACCGGGCCGCCTACTTGGAGGACTATAGCCTCCGTACATGGGGAGCAACCTGTACTGCTAGGCCATCTCATTTTGATTCTTTCTTTGAAAAAAATGCCAATCACTCTCATTCTGCCTGTGCCTCCTCTAGATGCTTCATCCCAAACATCTATGCAGCTCTGTGCACGGCGGTGCTGGTGCCTCTCATCTGTCTGGTTGCAGTTCTGGTTGTGTTCATCCACGCCTACCAGGTTACACAGCAGTGGAAGGCCTACGATGATATTTACCGTGGACGAACCAACAGTGCAGGTATGGTAATCTGTGAATACATAAACAAGTACTAAAACTCTCAAACTGTGTGCACAAACTCACAGAACCTGTTGTTTTTCAACTTGAAGAGGTAGAAATAGAAATGCACATTCAAAATAGATTTTATAACGCGTATAAATGCAAAATCTCTCTGTCTGCAGCAATCAAAAAAATACCAGAAAAACAAGTAACCTGCTTAGAGACAGCCTCAGGAGCTAGACTGCATCCACCCCTATTTTTGGATTAAAGTTTCAGCCCCTATTTTGTGCATCTTACAGTCTCTGTTTCTGTCTGCTGTGTGTGAACCCAAGAGACACATAATACAGAAATGAAAAGTTTGCTTTTTTCAATGATACAATGCTCACATCCACAATTGTATTCATCCACTGTACTTTGTCATAATTAAGATAATGATATGATTTGCAGTGCCAAGTACAGTTTAAAGCAACATTAAAGCAACCGTTAGGGATAATGGAAATGTGTTTCTAAAACTCTGATCTTATTTAAAGCACTTATCTGGTGTAATAAAAAAAGATGGAAAAGACACGCACACCAATCATGGTAATTTTGCGAGTTAGAATCAGTGATATTTATGAAGTGAAACGTTGTAGCCTCGCCCGCACATGGAGATCCTAGTCACTGTAGTCCCTCAGTATCATGGCTGTTATCAGTGGCTATCTGTGAGAATCAGCAGGGTTTAGCTTGTATGCTCAGTCAAGGCCCTCCAATGACAAAGCAAAGCCTGAATTAGTGCCAGTTCTTTGGCTGGCAAAAAGTTTGCCCTATTCGCCTTGTGTGGCCTCTGATGCAGCGTAGGAAAACAAAACAGTTTGTTGCTGAGCTGCACATTGTTGTGCATTATTTATGAAATCCAAACCAGTCTTAGGCTAAGGTCACTCCATGGCATTTTTTTTTTTACCTGACTAGAACGCTTAATGATGAACAATTCTATAGGAAAACTACAGTATGGTGCTTATGTTAAAGTAGAAAAGCAAAGAAGGAGCAGGTAGTAGCAGCTTCCTAAACTTCTTATTTAAAGAGTGGTAGAAGGGAAATAAAGGTAGGCACAGCACACATTAGTCAAAGCAGCAGTCTGACCCCCGAGTGAGGGTGTGTACTGTGAAGGACAGAACGTCCCTTGAGTTGTGAATATGTGTGTCTAATTTTGTGTCGAACAGCTACACTTTGAAATGGATGCTTATGAAAGGGAATTTAACTCAATCAAAGAACACAAAATTGGAGACGAAACCTAATACACATTTTAAGCATGAACACAAGATGTTCATAAACAGTATGGACTGTGCAGTTCTCTTTTTTTTTTTCCTTGGATGGGCTCCTTTATTAAACAAGTCATGGTGCCTCATTGTATCCAGCCAGCTTAAACCTGTGCAGAACCTGCAGGACAGCTAAAGCCAATCAGACAATGAACCTTTAGGTAGCCAACATTTTTAAATACCTTACTGCAGCAAAAAACCAGATAAGACAAGCTGAGGGCCCATCAGTGTGTGTGTTTGTGTGTGTGTGATGAAAGATATAGAAGGAATTCTGACATCACGTATCACGACATAACGTGTCTGCACGTTAGTTGTAACCTGCAGGCATGTACCTGTATCTCAGCAAAGATTTGGGACTGTGCCATTTCACCCATTGTAAAGCTTAACTGGATAATATAATACAATACCATTCTTTATTGTCCCCCAGGGGGAAATTTGTTCTCACAGCTTTGCACAGTTGGTGTTAACCCACATGAAGAAAAACATATAACAGCAGGTAGAAACACAAGCAAAGAAGGGGCCAGTCAGCCTGGAAGCATGTTTATGGCTTCAATAGCTGAGGGAACAATAGGGTGAGAAGTGGAGGAGGATGGGTTGGATGATGCTTTTATACAGAAGTAATAGGAGGTGAGGTGAGACGGACAGGACTCTCAGTTTCAGGAAGGCTGAAAGTCTTTGCTGGCAACGTTTATGAGTGTCAGTGGTGTACTGAGCAAAGCTGAGTTTATTGTACACAGTGAGTCCAAGATATTTGAAGGAGTTGACCATTTGGACAGTTTCATTGTTAATGTACGTTGGGTTATGGACTGTATGTGGAGAACCAGCGTTAGTGATGACTGTTTCTTTTGTCTTTGTGACATTCAATTGTTGATAGTTGTCTGTGCACCGCTGTGTGAATTGAGATATGGTGTGCCTAGTAGTCTGTAACTGAGTTATTTTCATTAAGAAGTGCAACAATGGCTGTGTCGTCCAAGTATTTGAAGAGTGTGGTAACTGTTGAGGGGCTGGTGCAGTCGTTAGTATACAGTGTGTACAGTGAGGGACTGAGTACACAGCCCTGGGG